TTGATGGTGAGGAAATGGAAGACGCTGAAATTTTAAAGATGTGCATGAGAAACAGATAAGAGAATGGTCTAGCCAGAGCAGAGTGCAATTCGAGATGAATACGATGTGAAATGCATCTCTGGTTTATTCCTGTGGCACTTCCAAGTTCTCCATGACCTCTCCAAATTACCGATAAGAATTCTGTGTTCTTGTCTATAAAATCATTTGCTATCTTGAATGCAATTCATTGGCTAGAACTTGAAAGTAGCTTGGTATGACCTTGTACTTGTCGAATTCAAAAATAAAAATGTAGAGACAAATTTCTAAATTTAATTATTTGGGAAGCAAAAATTGTACTTGGGGGGCATTCACAAAGACCAGGTGGTCTTCATTATGTCAGCAGAACGAAGAGAAGGTTGGGAGTTTCATTAGAAAGAGGAGTGTTACCCGTTGTTTTGAGAGAAAGCTCATCAGCACTGGAGAAGCTTTTGGGAGCTGGCAAGCTTAGATTCGTGAGTGATGGGAGATAAACAAGTCTTAGAGTCACAGCAGGTTGTATCAGCAGTTACTAGGTAGAACTGGTCTCAGGGTTGCAGCAGACCGTTTCAGCAGCAGAGTGTGTGGAAAATTGGATTCTTGTTGAATCTTGTAGCAAGTGCTGTGTGCCCTGAGCGCTTTTTCCTCCTGGCGCTTAGACTCTGATTTAGTTGGGGATGACAAGAATGACCCAATTTGTGTAATCAACTTTCACACACTCTTCTCACATAATGGGAACTTTAATGCCTCTTTTTTTTTTTCTTTTTTTGAGTTGGAGTCTCACTCTGTCGCCCAGGTCGGAGTACAGTGACACACTGCTCATGGCCACTGCACCCTCAACCTGCTGGGCTCCGGCAACCCTTCCACCTCAGTCTTCCATGTAGCTGGAACTACAGGCACACGCCACCATGCCCGGCTAATTTTTTGACTTATTGTAGAGATGAGATCTCACCAAGTTGTCCAGGCGGGTCTCGAACCCGCGGGCTCAGGCAATCCACTCACCTTGGCCTCCCAAAGCGCTGGGATGACAGGCTGAGCCACTGAGCCCAGCCCTTTAATGCCTCTTATTGTTTCTCCTATCCTTTTCACTTCAATTTCTTTTTTCTTTTTCATTAAACTCTTTCCATTCTAAGATTCCTCTACTCTTTTCCATTTGAAGACCTTCTCCTTGCTGAAGAAGACTAAAGCCAGAGCGGAGCTTACTTTCTCTTCCTTTCCAAATGTTAGATTTGTTCTTGCCTTGCTTTTCTTCCTTTAAGCACAGGCTGTAGGAGAGCCTTCTTGTTATTTTTCACAAGCCAATTGATCATTCCGGACTACCGTCATTATACCAACACTCGTACAAGCTTGGGTAACTTTCTCACTGACCTCAATTACCTGCTCCTTCTATTTTTAAGGCTTCTGAGTTTAAAAGATCTTTTTGTTGCCATATTGGCAAATCATTGGCATTTTAAGACCAGATGGTCGAAGGAGAGAGACTATTCAAATATCATTGATTTTTATGCCTAAGATTTCTGGAAATCGCACTACTGCCGAGACTGTTAGAGGTAACAAATGGCATTGGTTCGGAGGAGAAATGATCAATTTTCAAGTATTGGAAGGATCATTAGCGGGGATCTGTCAGGCAGTTGAAGTGGAACTAGAGAAAAAGTGAGAAACTGGGGTAAGATTTGGCAGTCCTGCAACCTTGATTATTTAACCGCAAACATGGATCAGATACTGAGGGCACAAAGTCAAGAAATGCAAAGAGTGACCCCTGGGAGATAACCGCGGTGAAAAACATCAGGAAGAAGCTGAAGAGCTCACGAAAAATGGGTCTTTCAGAAAAGGAGGGGGACGACAGACGTGCTGGATCAACCCTGGCAAACTGAAAGTAGCTCTAAAGCGCATGTTGTAATTGTTGGACTTCACATTATCTGTGTGTCAACTGTGGCCTTCAAGTAGAAGTGGTCCCCAACCACATGCATATATCCAGAGTAATATCAACCACATATGTGGGTGTGGTTGTGAGCACACTTCTTCCATCATCTGATTGAGTTTCCTAGTTTGTGGCTGTGTGGTACAGAGTGCTTTAAGACTTCAAACTAGGCTGGGCACGGTGGCTCACACCTATAATCCCTGCACTTTGGGAGGCTGAGGTGAGAGAATTGCCTAACCCCATGGGTTCAAGACCAGCCTGGGCAACTTGGCGAGACCTCATCTCTACAATAAATCAAAAAATTAGCCGGGTGTGGTGGTACATGCCTGTTATTCCAGCAACTTGGAAGGCTGAGGCGGAAGGATTGTCCAGCAGTTCAAGGCTGTGGTGGCCGTGAGTGTGCCACTGCACTCCAGCCTGGGAACAGAGATGAGATTTCAACTCAAAAGAAAAAAAAAGACTTCAAACTACACTGAAGAGTTCACAACTGAACTCCAAATACTGTTTTCTAAGATTCTCAATATCCCAAAAGGGATGGAGTGCTAAAGGCATAGTACAGGAAGTACATAGTCCAGGAAGACCCCACCAGCAGGCAGCAAAAGGCTGGAGGAAGCCTTAGTCTTTCCTCTGATTAGTATATGTCTGAGCAGTCCCTTAACCTCTTCGTTTCCAAGGGTATCTCATCTATAAAATGAAGAAGTTTGATTTGATCTATAAGGGCCTTTCAGCTCTAAAATTAATATATTTTTCTAATAGTAAAACTTACCTTCTGCCTCTTACTTTTTTTTTTTTCTTTTTAGGGTAGTACACTCTTTGGGGAAGTTTAAAATTTTGACATCTCAGTCAGGCTTGGTGACTCTAGCCTGTAATCCCAGCACTTTGGGGGTCTGAGGCGAGAGGATTGCCTGAGCCCTTGGGTTCAAGACCAGCCTGGGCAACCTGACAAGACCTCATCTCTACAATAAGTAAAAAAATTAGGCCGGGCTCGGTGGCTCAGCCTGTAATCCCAGCACTTTGGGAGGCCGAGGTGAGTGGATTGCCTGAGCCCGCGGGTTCGAGACCTGCCTGGGCAACTTGGCGAGACCTCATCTCTACAATAAATCAAAAAATTCGCCGGGCGTGGTAGCACACACCTGTAGTTCCAGCTACTTGGAAGGCTGAGGCGGAAGGATCGCCGGAGCCCACCGGGTCGAGGCTGCAGTGGCCAGGAGCGGCCACTGCACTCCAGTCTGGGCGACAGAGTGAAACTCCAACTCAAAAAAAAAAAAAAATTAGCCAGGCATGGTGGCACGTGCCTATAGTTTCAGCTACATAGAAGGCTGAAGCAGAAGGATCACCTGAGCTCAGCAGGTTGAGACTGCGGTGGCCATGAGTGTGCCAGCCAAGGCAACAGAGTGAAACTCCAACTCAAAAAAATAAAAAAATAAAAAGCTGACATCTTCCTTTGTTTAAAAGTGCCTGGTGTGATGGCTCACACCTATAATCCCAATACTTTGCGAGGCCAAGGCAGGAGGATCACTTGAGCCCAGAAGTTTGAGCCCAACCTGGGCAGCACAGCAAGACCTCATCTCTACAAAAATAAAAATAAAAATAAAAAAATTTTTAAAAATAAAAATGCCCTGCTATAATGGGCCCTGAATAGCATTAGGGTTAGGGAGTAGATCTTGCCTGAAATTATAATACTTACATTTTAAACTCAGCCTGCCTCATTTCTGAATAAACATAAAGTATCAATTGCCTAGCTTAGAAAATTGGTTGATTAAAGAATTTTCTTTAAAGAATCACATTATTTTGAGTTGGAGTCTCACTGTATACAGGCTGGAGAGCAGTGTCATGCTTGCGACCACCACAGTTTTGACCTGCTAGGCTCAGGCGATCCTTCCACTTCAGCCTTCCAAGTAGCTGGAACTACAGGCGTGCGCCACCACGCCCGGCTAATTTTTTTATTTATTGTAGAGATGAGGTATCAGCAGGCTGCCCAGACTGGTCTGGAGCCCCTGGTCTCAGGCAATCAATCCTCCTGCCTCGGCCTCCCAAAATACTGGGATTATAGGCTTGAGCCACCGCACCTTAAGAATCACATTTTAAGAAGCTTTTAGATGTCGATGGATAAGGAGCTAGACAACATTTAACAGCAAATTCTAATTTTGCCATCTAACAGATGTCAATTCAATTTTGTAAGTTCCAAGAAAAAAGAAAATGTAGTGCCCTTGAGAAGAGAGTAGCTTACATTACTGATTTCACTTGATCTTGCTACTCTGGCACCCAGGCTTCTGAGGGAAAGGTGCTATTCCATAGGGCTTTTCAGCAGTGTTTGTTTGTATGTGGCAGAGACCGAATGAAAGGAAGACGAGGACAACTGGGTTAATGCCACTTGCATGGCAGCTCGGCAGTCGGTAGTGCCAGAGTCCAAACATCTGGTCCTTGCAGGATGAAGCCATTGGGCAGCCACTGAGTATCCAGGAGAATGAAATACATGTTAGTCTTGGTTTTGGTCTTGGGTATTAGGAAATACTGTAGTGGCCATCTGCTTCTCTAGAAGAGTTTTGGTCAGGAGGTGCAGGTCTAGTCAGATGAAAGGGTTTTGAAGACATCGCTACCAAATTCAGAAAAGTAATCATCTAGGGAACCAGGCCTTTGCACTTTTTATGAGACACCAGACTCCAAAGAAAAGCTACGTCATTGCAATCTGACCAGGGGATTTTATCAATTCTGTATTTAATCCAGTTTTCTAAGACATGTTAGAAGAAAAACTAACATGGCACCTGTTTTTTTCTCCGTTTGCTTCAGCTAAAGTTAACAACTAACAAGGCTGGTCACCCTACTCAACCCCCGTCATCTTTGATAACCCTTTGCCTATGCTATTGTTACATGTTAACTTCCACTTTTCCACCGCCCTGAGCACAAGCATGAGTTGCATGTGGCAAGGTTGGAATATTCTCCACAAACCGGCTTTTGTTTATGCTTTTGAGATGTAACTTTTCTGCACAGGGCTCTGTTGCTTTTTTACAGGATCCATTTTCCAATTAAAAAATAACCTTAAGAGAGTCTTCTTTTTACCAATTAGGTCAAAGTCCTAAAATTTTAAGACCCAAACCCCATGGTTTAGAGCGAACTGATTCACAAACCATAGGTGACTTTGCTACAAGAAGAAAGGGTATGTACCTTGTCACCGCATGCTGCATGGGGCGTCGGGGATTTATTTTGTCATGTTTTTTTCTTAAAAAGCAAAAAAGAAGAGCCTTAAATAGCACTGCTGTTATAAATAAAACTTCCCGGTACATTATTTTTAAAGTGAATGCTTTTCATTATACACTGTGAGTCTACTTGTGATGCTATTAACAGCAGCATGTTAAATGTTTGATAATATGTGATAATCGGGCTTGTCCTTATGCATTTTTTTTTTAACATTTTAGACAATAGTGCACTGTTTTCTTTGAGCTTGTGAACTATTTGTGAGTTCCAATCGTCTTCTGTCTTTATATGTATGTATTGTGTTCTGAGACAGAATGAAGAATCATTTCTGTGGATTAATTGTACCATGACTTAGAAATTGGCAGCTAAACTGCTATTAGCCAATGGGTGTCAAATAGGAAAACATTCAGAGTTTAAGAAATACTTCCAGTTAGCACGATATTCCATACGTCTATTTTAAGAATGTAGACAAGCAAAATTTTTAAGCTCAAATTAAGTTAATTTAGTCTTCATTATATTTAAGTAGACAAAAATACTTAGTTATTAGCCTCAACGTGTGTAAACCTTTAAAGTGTCCACCCATTTTTGTACTTTAATGCTACTTAAAATATAATTGATTAAAATTGCACGTACAATGGACAGAGACTACAATATGAGAAAACCTGGAAAGGGGGAATTTTTAGAGTGAAGAATGAAGCGTAACTGAAATATTTACTTAGAACATTTATGTAGTCTCCTAAGACATAATTAATATTAACAAATAATATTGTTTTCGGTTTTTTGCTCACTCCTTAAATTTTTGAAAAATAACTCAGTCTTGACTTTAAGAGAAGGGCTAAGAACTCAGTGGTACATACCAGTATAGTAATTGTCTACTGAAATAATGAGCTAAATAAGTAAAGATCACCTATACATAAAGCTAATGAAAACAGTAGCATTTACTTTATTTTTTATAATTTGGCAAATGGTTCATTGGTTGAACTAAGCTAAAAATTTGAAGTGAAGTAAAAGTGTGGCCTTTTTTCACAGCACAGTTTGGATCTAAAGATAGAATTATTGTTTTGTTCGATTTGTTTCCAAATGGGGCATGAATTATTTTTAAAGATTTGATCATTAATTCTCTTTTGGTTTTAACAAGTTTGTCCTTAATACTTTCTGTGCATCATTTTATATGTATAGTTACATGCTTCCATATGAATAATAGGATGGATTTTACATAGATGATTCATTTTCCAGATTGAGGAAGAAATTTGTAAATGAAATAATGAAAAGCATAAAACAACTCTAAAGGAATTGGTTGCATTGTTCTTTCTTGTTCTAATTTAGTTTCTATTCTTAAAATATTAAGAAGCAACATACTTTAATAGAGTTTTTGCCTTTGAGGTACAGTCATGAAACATTATCTGATACTGTTGTTGCCACTAGTTATTCAGCCATAGAACCTTGAACAAATCACATAACATCCGTGAACCTCATTTCAAGGGTGAAACTAGCTGGTCTTAGGTTTACTCTATCAACTGTAAATAGAGATATAAAGTGAGAATTTTATTTTGCAAAGTTCTATGCACTAAAATCTTTTTTTCTCTCTTTATCTGTAGCCAAGCCAGCACCTTTAGAAATAAAACCTTTGCCAGAATGGGAAGAATTACAGGCCCCGGTTAGATCCCCCATCACAAGGAGTTTTGCTCGAGAGTAAGTCCTTTGTTTAAAATACATAATTTAGGCCATTGCCTTACTAGACTCTTGTGTGGCCATGTGCTCTTGGAGCAATGGCCGTCGCCATGTTTCTTGACTTTGGCCCCCTTCCTTAACTTGGGGAGGTGAATCTTCTCTTTCACCGTCTCTCTCTCTGATTTACTTTTAAAATAAAGTATATTTTCTAATCTAAAAAATAATAATAATAAAATACATAGTTTGGCTGAATAACATGGCTATCTAGAATTGTTCATTATTGTGGAAAGTAGTTCTCAGTGGGCGGTGTGGGGAGCTACTCTTTTTGGGGTTCTGTGAAGTCATATTTTTTATTAAGATACTGAGCTGTTACTTGCCTTTTTCATTCTCCACTGCGCACAATGGAGTTTTCCAGAGGCTGCATGATATGTGATCATATCATTGTGGCAGATAATAGAATGCGTATTTGTGTACTCTTGTGTTTTTTTGTTTGTTTGTTTTTTTGAGTTGGAGTCTCACTCTGTCGCCCAGACTGGAGTGCAGTGGCAGCTCCCGGCCACCGCAGCCTCGACCTGCAGGGCTCTGGCGATCCTTCCGCCTCAGCCTTCCGAGTAGCCGGAATTACAGGCATGTGCTACCACGCCCGGCTGATTTTTTGATTTATTGTAGAGATGAGGTCTTGCTGCCCAGGCGGGTCTCGAACCCACGGGCTCAGGCAGTCCACTCATCCCAGCCTCCCAAAGGCGCGGGATTACAGGCTGAGCCACTGAGCCCGGCTTACTCTTGTTTTTTAAAAATTTCTGTTTTCACTTCTAATATGGCAAGTGTCAGTATAACTCTAGAAACAAAAATTCCTTGGAGTTCTCAGTAATTTTTAAGAGTGTAAAAGTTTCACCAAACCAACATTTGCTGAGAACTACTAATCTAGAAAATATGGTAGTTTCTTGTGGGGATTATTTAATTGAGATTCATTTAAATATATAAGGAAATGAAAAGAATTTCTGAAGTTACAAGCCTGAGTTGAACATGTGCTTCTGTTTTAAGTATACATATAACTAATTTTTTTTAAAACGAGGAATTCTTTTTTTTTTTTTTTTTACATATTATATTTTCTTTATTCACTCATACATTGTCAGACACTTAGGTAGATTCCACATCTTTGCTACTGTGCTTACTGTTACACAACATAAACATGGGAGTGAAGACAAGCCTTTGGTACATTGAGTTCTTTTTCTTTGGATAAATACCTAGTAGTGAAATTGCTGGGTCATATGGTAGTCCTGTTTTTAGTTTCTTGAGAAATCTCTCTACCGTTTTCCATCATGGCTGTACTAATTTCCATTTCTACCAGCAGTCTATGAGTTCACTAAGACATCTAAGATGATATCTCATTGTGGTTTGATTTATGTTTCCCTGATGATTAGTGCTCTTGCACATTTTTTTCATATACCTGTTGGCCATTTGTATATCTTCTTTTGAGAAATGTCTGTTCGTGTCCTTTGCACATTTTTAAATAGGATTATTTGTTTTGTTGCTGGTACACGCTATGGATATTATTCCCTTGTCAGATGAGTAGTTTCCAGGTATTTTCTCTCATTCAATAGGTTGTCTTTTCACTCTGTTGGTTGTTTCTTTTGTTGTGAAGAAGCTTTTTATTTTAATATAGTCCCATTTGTCTATTTTTGGTTTTGTTGCCTGTGTTTTTGAAGACTTAACCATAAAAATCTTTGCCTAGATCTTTGTTTTGTTTTGTTTTTTTTATTAAACATATTTTTTATTTTGAAATTGTGGGGTACAGTTAAGGGTTAGGTATACAAATATGCATCGTACAGTCACCCTTGTTGATAAGGGGTGTCCCCCCCCCCGTCCCCAAAGAGATACCGGGTACCATTAATCAACAAGGAATTCTTTTTTTTTTTTTTTTTTTTTTTTGAGTTGGAGTCTCACTCTGTCACCCAGACTGGAGTATAGTGGCCGCTCCCAGCCACCGCAGCCTCGACCTGCTGGTCTCCGGCGATCCTTCCACCTCAGCCTTCCGAGTAGCCGGAATTACAGGCATGCGCTACCACACCCGGCTGATTTTTTTATTTATTGTAGAGATGAGGTCTCGCTGCCCAGGCGGGTCTCGAACCCGCGGGCTCAGGCAATCCACTCACCTCAGCCTCCCAAAGGCACGGGATTACAGGCTGAGCCACCGAGCCCAGCTCAACAAGGAATTCTTAAATGTTCCTTTTATATATGAGACTTTCTACTTCTCTCCTAATTTTTGTTCATTTTACAGAAGACAGTTTGATAGCTGAAATATACTTTTATAACACAGTCATAAATATTAGTTGTGTATTTGAATTTGCACAAAAGTATGCCATAATCAATGTGTACAAAATGATGACAAACATAAGTGAACATTTCTGCAAGGATACAGATTCTCTCTTATCTTTTTTGGGAGAGTAACTTTAGAAGTGACTGTCAAGGTTTATGTTTGTGACGATAATTTCTGTAATTAGTTCTTCCAGGTTTCCCCTGTCCCCCCGACCGGATTCAGTGCATAGCACAACTTCAAGCAGCGACTCGCACGACAGCGAAGAGAATTATGTTCCCATGAACCCAAACTTGTCCAGTGAAGACCCAGTACGTAAAGTCTCCGTCAGACCTTCTCCCTCCCTGAGAAGCCCTTTTAAAGCATTCAAGCTGGAACATTTCTTCCAGTCTATAAATTTTACTCTCACAACTTTCTTTGTATACTTAAGGGAAAAGGTAAATAAAAGGTAACTTTTTAAAATACTTTAAAAAAATAATCATAATATCAGCCCAGCATGGCAGCTCACTCGTGAAATTCCAGCACTCTGGGAGGCTGAGGCAGGAAGATCATTTGAGCCCAGAAGTTGGAGGCGGAAGTGAGCTGCGATTGTGCCACTGCACTCCAGCCTGAATAATACAGCCAAACTCTGTCTCAAAAAAACCCAAATAAATAAATAAAGTCCAGAACTGATAAAGGGTCAAAATGTACCATAAATCAGTTAAAAACCAAAAGTTGCCAGATGTGATGGTGTGAGCCTGTAGCCTCCGCTACTTAGATGACTGAGACGGGGAAGGATCACTTGAACCCAGAAGTTTGAGGCCAATCTGGGCAACGTGGTAATACCCTGCCTCTAATTTAAAAATAATAATAATACATGTTCAGTTATAGTTCATCTAAGATGTATTTGGTTTTTGATAGTCTTTAAGAAAATATACTGAAGGCGTTGGAGAATGCCTCTTCCAGGCCCCTGTCACAGAACTTTCATGATGAAATGGTCTTCTATGGAAGGTCTTTGGTAATCTTTCGGTAAATAACCCCTTAGATAGCCTTAGATGGGCTTAAAGAGACCTCTCATAAACATAACCTATTTCTGGTTGGCTATACTACCACAAGGCATAAGAATTTTCTAATAGTAGCAAACATCTTTTTCCCCATAAATCCTCCATAAATAGTTATCAGAAAATACTTCAGATGCTTAAGAGTACAAGCAAATTTTAATTTTTAATTTTGCAGCCAGGCATGGTCCCTATAATCCCACCAGTTTGGGAGGCTGAGGCAGAAGGATTGCTTGAGCCTAGGAGATCTAGACCAGCCTAGGCAACAAAGCAAGACCTCATTTCTACAAAAAAAAAAAAAAAACTTAACCAGGTGTGGTTGTGTGGATCACTTAAGCCCAGGAGTTCAAGACCAGCCTGGGCAGCATAGTGAGACTAACATCTCTACAAAATATTTTTTTAAATTACTGAATGTGGTGGTACCTATCTATAGTCCCAGCTACTCAGGAGGCCTCGGAGGATGTATCTCTTCAGCCCAGGAGATTGAGGCTGTGGTGAGCCATCATTGTGCCACTGTGCTTCAGCCTGGGTGACAGAATGAGACAGATAATAGTGACTTAAGTAAGATTCTTTCTCATGTCAAAGTCTAGAGAGTTCACCCAGGCTGTTGTGGCAGCTTTGCTCTGCAGTCTTCAGGGATTTGGGCTCTTCCACCTCTCCAGTCTACTGCCCCCTGGGTGTAGCTCACATGCTCAGGCCAAGATGCTGCTCTAGCTAGCAGAGTCCTATTCCAAGCTCTAGGCTGGAGGCAAGGGAGAAGCAGCAAAGGTCACAGCCCAAGAAGCTTCATCAAGAAGCTTCCTGGGCCAGACACAGTGGCTCACGCCTGTAATCCCAGCACTTTGGAAGGCTAAGGCACGAGGATCACTTGAGCCCAGGGGTTCAAGACCAGCCTGGGCAACCAAGTGAGACCTCATCTCTACAAAAAAAATTTTAAACTTACCTGGAGTGGGAGAGGGCATGCCTGTAGTCCTAGCCACTTGGTAGACTGAGACAGAAGGATTGCCTGAGTCCAGGAGGCTGAACTACTGAACATGAACATGCCACAGAGCAACAGAGTGAGATCCCAACTCAAAAAACAAACAAACAAAAAAACTCCTGGAAACTGCTCTATACAAACTGTTAACCAGCGCTTAGCCTGTGTGGCCATACTTAGATACAAAAGGGGCTGGAAAACATAGCCTTAGTTCTGAGGAATGGTGAGCCCACCTGAAAAATCCCAGGCATGTGGGAGAGGAGATGGCAGGTATTAGAGGACAGCCAGGCCATATCTGCTGGAATAGGCAAATGTCTAACATCAGATTCTGCAATGAGTAACATGTTAGTGGTCTTGCTTTCTTTAAAACAATCCTATTTAAAGACAGAATAGGCAAGGCACGATGTCTCACTGTAATCCTAGTACTTTTGGAAGGCGAAGGTGAGAGAATTGCCTGAGCCCAGGGTTCAAGACCAACCTGGACAACTTGGCAAGACCTTGTCTCTACGATAAATAAAAAAATTAGTTGAGCGTGGTGTCGCATGCCTGTAGTTCCAGCTACTTGCAAGGCTGAGGCAGAAGGATCGCCTGAGCCCAGCAGGTCGAGGCTACAGTGGCCATGAGTGTGCCGCTGCCCTCCAGCCTGGGCAACAGAATGAAACTCCAACTCAAAAAAAAAAATCTTGGAAAGGTCATATAATGGGAAAACTTGAGAGTATGATTTGTCAGGGGCAAGTGTTAGGTGAAGGAAAGAGATTAGAAAGAACATTATAGTCCGAAGTCAAAGGAAATCAAAACACAAAATTGTTCTCTTAGACCTTATAATCTTAAGCCAGAGTGGTACTTTTTTACCTGTCAGTAGAGATGTCTAAATAAATACTATCTGGTGGGTTTCTGAAGTACATATGTCCTAAGCGTTAGGAAAAAAAGCAAAAATGGCCTAGTTGGAAACGGCTATCTACCGGGCACAATAGAAAAGTCAGTTGTGCCATTCTCGTCTCCTCATGCTCCCAACTGCAGGTCAACATAGCTCACACCCTCTTCCTTAGAAAAGAAGTGCCACTAGCCGACCATGGTGGCACACACCTGTAGTTCCAGCTACTTGGAAGGCTGAATCGGAAGGATCACCAGAGCCCAGCAGGTTGAGGCTGTGGTGGCCGTGAGCGTGCCACTACACTCCAGCCTAGGCAACAGAGTGAAACTCTGACTCAAAAAAAAAGAAAAGAAAAGAAGTGATAGTTACAGCAGAGTTTACCAAACATCTCTAATTTTGGAATTTAGTATATAGGATACCATTGAAGCTTACAAGATCTAATGGATGCTTAGGTTGATGACAACAATAGTCTTAGAAAAGTTGAGGCAGGATCAGATCCAGTTTATACATACAATAAGATTAAATCCCATAAATTGAAATTTTGAAGGATGATACATTTTCTAGACTAGCGATCCAAGATAGGCAGTGTTTTATGAAACAGTGAATTGGCGTTATCTTCCATATATTTGTACGAAGACCAAAAGTCACACATTTATCAAATGAACCCTTCATGTGATACGCAAAACCCAAAGGATAGTGTGTCATTACTAAGGACGTATACATAGTTAAGTAATAATAACTACAAAAATACAGTAAGTTCCTACATACAAATGACTTCCATTCCAAGAGTGCATTCATAAGTCCAGTTCGTTCTTAAGTTCAACAAAGCTAGCCTAGGTACTCAACTAACAATTTTACGCTCTTGTGCTTGCTTCTGGATATCCTGGGCCTGAAATAAAGATACGGTACTACTCTACTCTGTTCAGTACTATACAGTAAAGAACACAAAAACACAACCACTTATAGAGGATGCACACACGTGACAACGTACGCCTAACACATGAAGAAACTTATCTTTGGAAGTTCGTAATTTGGGTCAGGCACGGTGGCTCACACCTATGATTCCAGCACTTTGGGAAGCCAAGGTGAGAGGATTGCCTGAATCTACTTTGTCTCTACAATATAAATAAAAATAATTAGCTGGACGTGGTGGTACACACCTGTAGTTTTAGCTACTTGGAAGGCTGACGCGGAAGCATCGCCTAAGCCCAGCAGGTCAAGGCTGTGGTGGCTGTGAGCATGCCACTGTACTCCAGCTTGGGCAACTGAGTGAGACTCCAACTCAAAAAAAAAAAAAAAAGTTAGCTATTTGAAGGTTCATATATAGGAGACTTACTGTATACAAAATGATTTTACATGTTTTTTAAAGAATTTGAGAAAAATCTAGCACTACTGTTTTGTGTTGTTTTTTTAATTCACGGAACACTTACAGTAACTCCTAGAATCTTAGAGCTCCTCTAAACTGTTTACAGGATGAAAAACTGGAACACAGACACAGGCTGTTCCCTGTAGAAGTTAAATCGAGAGCAAATAGATTTCCTTGTAAACACACACATTTTAACAATACTTAAAGGTGAAAAAATTCCCAGTTCTAGTAATCATTAGATACAACAGTTTAACTAGCAATTCTGAGAAATTCTCTTAAGAAGCAGTGTATTGGGATTAAGCATGCAGGTTATATGAATTTGTGGGTTCCTTATATGTGCTTGTAATTCTGTGAAGACTTCCCGACATCTCTAGTCCGAGAAATGCAGGGTATGGACTGGGCACGGTGGCTTAAGCCTGTAATCCCAGCACTTTGGGAGGCCGAGATGAGAGGATTGCCTGAGCCCGGGGATTCGAGACCAGCCGGGCAACTTGGCCAGACCTTATCTCTACAATAAATCTAAAACTTAGCCGGGTGGGGTGGTGTGTACCTGTAGTTCTAGTTACTTGGAAGGCTGGGGCGGAGGGATCACCTGAGTCCAGTGGGTCAATGCTATGGTGGCCATGAGCATGCCACTGCACTCCAGCCTGGGTGACAGAGTAAGACTCCAACTCAAAAAAAAGAAAAAGAAAGAAATGCAGGATATGAGTTATTTGTTTGATCACATTTGAATATAGAATTTTATACACACTCATGGATTTTTTTAAATGTGAGAATGAAATATAAGGTCATTTAGAGAAGAAATTTCACGATGGTTTCAGTTTCTTCATGAATTAGGAAAAAAGGGGGTATTGCTATTTATCTTAATTGACTACCAGAACTTGCATACATTTTTTTGTGCCCTACACGTGTTTTTATGTTTGTTCATCTGACTGAGTCGGAGTCTCACTCTGTCGCCCAGGCTGGAGTGCAGTAGCACGCTTACAGTCACCGCAGCTTCGACCTGCTGGGCTCAGGCGATCCTTCCACCTCAACCTTCCAAGTAGCTGGAAATACACACCACGACACATGGCTAATTTTGTGATTTGTTTTAGAGACAAGGTCTCGTCAAGTTGCCCAGGCTTGTGGGCTCAGGCAATCCTCTCATCTCTGCCTCCCAAAGTGCTGAGATTACAGGTGTGAACCCCTACATCCAGCCTACATGTTGTTTTCAATATTTTCTAATGTTTTATTACCAGTCGTTGATAAATTTGGTTTAAAAATCTGTTCCTCTGTGAAAGGTGTCTCAAACTGTCCCTGCTCTATGTTTGCATCACATTCAGTTGTGCAGGTTGTTGACTGCATAAACATACTGAATGCAGTACGTAGTAGGTACACTTGTGGCATATTTGATTGTGTGAGATCCAGGCCATGTACCCTCACCAAGCTGTGGGCCCTGGCACAGAGCCATGTCACCTCAGCTGAAGGAGCAAGCACCTTTTTCTCAATTATTTATTTTTATTTTATTTATTTATTTATTTTTTTGAGTTGGAGTCTCACTCTGTCACCCAGACTGAAGTGCAATGGCCGCTCCTGGC